ACCAGCGGACCAGAAACTGAAACAGGGCAACATGTGGAAAAAAAAAAACATCCGGCAACCTTAGGAGCAAGGACGCTACGATCAGGGCTCCTGGCCTTACTACTAGGAGCAAGAAGCTACTAGGGGCTCCTGGCATCGCTGCTAGGAGCAAGGACGCTACTAAAAGCATTGATTGGAACTTGAAAGAAAGTGTGGTCGCTGGGCCGATCACCTCATTTCCAACTGCCTTTGTTTCGGTCCATAGGTCGCAGGCTGAGCCGAGGTCTACCCTGAAAACTCGCCCACAGGCGGATGGCAATGGCTCGCCGGGCGGCGGTCTCCCAAGCTTTGTTTGGTACTCGATCTGAAGAGATTGGCAAATTTCAAACATCACCCAAACATACCCAGACACTCCATGGGACTGGCATATTGACAGATCAGTTAGGGGTGGTCGATTTCAGGGGTCCGTGTATAATTTGGGATATCTCAGTACCAGTAGCAGTGGATGATGATGATGATGATGATGATGATGGTTACTAAGAGCCTCTGCCAAAAAAACATGAATACTGTTTTCAAACTGTTCATGGTGATGGGACACGACCTCTATGTCTATATGTATTCCATGTCCCATCGCGTCTTTGGCTTAAATTTGAACATCGCACTGGTTGCCTGGACGCCCCATGGCCACCCCATCACTTGGATCGATCCTCTTCACCCAAGCGGCTGGCTCGGTAGAAGCGGAACCTGAGACGGACGGGCTCGCTTGAGTTCCAACGATGGGTGAGGAAACCTGCGTTGAAAAACACATATAAAGGCAAAACCACCCAAGATTCTGTATTTGAGAAGAGAAAGTACTAGTTCGAGATTCAACATGCAGAGTCATTCAGAGTTAAAGACGAGGATTGGAAGATGTCAGGTTTACATGTTAAAGGAACATATATTCAACACATTAAGTTTTTTCCCCACATTGTTGTGTGGGGTTCTTGTTTTTTTTGCTACACCGCCCCGCTCGTTCTCCGTCCGCGCTCCTCCTCCTTCCCCTCCTCCTTCCTCCTTCCTCCTCTCTCACACAACATCTCTCACAACAACATCTCTCACAACAACATCACTCAGACAACATCCCACACACAACGTCTTGCATACAACATCACTCACACAACATCTCTCACAACAACATCTCACACACAACGTCTCACACACCACAGCACACACACACAACATCTCTCACACTCACAGGCGCAGCTCATCTCGTGGCAGGCACAGCACTTTGCTGCTTGCCAAGGGGTCGGATGTACGCCCTGGCGTCGGCTGGGCACCGGCGCTGGATGTGCAGATTTCGTGGCAGGCGCAGCACTTTGTGAACCTTCATGTGCAGATCTCGTGGCAGGCACAGCACTTTGTGAACCTCCATGTGCAGATTTCGTGGCAGGCACAGCACTGTGTGAACCTCCATGTGCAGATTTCGGGGCAGGCGCAGCACTGTGTGAACCTCTATGTGCAGATTTCGTGGCAGGTGCAGCGCTTTGTGAACTGGCGACTTTGTAGTACAACTTTAGTACGCGGAGTATCTGCGGAGCTGGAAGATGAGAACTGGCGACTTTGTAGTACAACTTTAGTACGCGGAGTATCTGCGGAGCTTGAAGATGAGAACTGGCGACTTTGTAGTGCAACTTTAGTACGCGGAGTATCTGCGAAGCTGGAAGATGAGAACTGGCGACTTTGTAGTACAACTTTAGTACGCGGAGCAATCTGTGGAGCTGGAAGCTGAGAACTGGCGACTTTGTAGTACAACTTTAGTACGCGGAGTATCTGGGGAGCTGGAAGATGAGAACTGGCAACTTTCTAGTACAACTTTAGTACAAGCCCCAAGCAGCATACATCCACCCACCCACTGATACACACTGACGAACAAGCGCATACACACAAACACACACACACACACACACACCTCACGTACACACAGAGACCCTCACGCCTTATGTCTGTTTCGCCTGTCTCTTCCCCATGCTCACTCTTCCGCACTTTACCCCTGCAGCCTCAATCTTTCGAAGTTGTTCACATGTGGGGTTATCCGGTCCTATAATATAATTAAATAAGGTTTTCAGTAGATATCGGAAAAACACTTTCCATCAGTATATCTGACGGCCCACCGCGTTGCAGTGCGTATGGAACACGAAGAGTCAGTCTTCGCCCGAGCTGGTGGATAGTCTGGTGGACCATCCATGGTATCCAAGCAACACCATACAGGCATGCTTTGGTAACCCCAAAAATGTGAACCAGAAGTCGTTTCTATTTAAGTATGCGTCGTATATGATCCTATGTATATGTTTCTAATTATTAGGGGGAAAGTACTTAGTAAAGAAGTCCTTTGCATGACCACTTGGAGACAAGTGGATTGCTTCGTTTGAAGGTACGGAATCCAAGCCCAGTCGCGCATAGCCAGTTTGTGGACAAGTGCTTGGTTAGAGTTAAGAGAAAAATTGCTTTACGGCGATCCCCACCCTTCGAGGCCCTTGGGAAGAAGGCAGGGCACGTGTACTGACAAACAATCCTGACAAACGCAGGCTGACATGTGCATTGACACAATGTTATGACACTTGTTCTGGCATCAAGCCTGGTATGTGCACTGACACAACTATCAAAGAGGCTGGGAATCATTCTGGGCTGTGTTCTGACGTCCTTGATGGCATGTGTTCTGACACTTGTCCTGACATCTGCTGTGACATATGGTTTGACTTCGGATTTGATATGTGTTCTGACATGTGTGCTGCCATGTATTCCAACATTTGTTCTGCCATCAAACCTGGGACTTGCTCTGACATATGCTCTAGGCATTCGACATGGCAACTATATCGACAATCTAGCTGGCATATCCTCTGACATCCTTTCTGGCATATCTTCTGGCATCCTTTCTGGCATACCTTCTGCATAGCTTCGGGCATCCTTGGCAAACCACCTGGCTTATTTATCTCGCCGGAGCAAGTCGGAAGGAGTACCACCTGGCAGGTGGAGAACTACAGGTCCGAAGACCTAGTAGAACCTGGCCTTTCACCTTATTGAGCAATGTTTTTGTATGACCAACTCCAGTCTTTGACCCAGCCAGTGAGTGGGCACCCCGAAGTTTCAATCAGCGGACAACTTGATGGAACTTGTGGGATTGCAACTTCCTCACATTGGATCCACTTTTCCAGTCACTTCCCCTATCCGTGAGATGTTGTGAACTGAAACTGGCCCATCCTTCCCAGCTTCGGTCCATTGTACCAGCTTCCCAGCGAATCGCTTCGTATACCGAGCGGGTCCGAGCTGCAAATCCCATCGCTTCTGCTGCCAGAGGGTATGTAGTTTCTTTCCCAAGGCACGCTCCACAATCTTTTGGATCCTTAGAACCCAAGTCTTCTTCACCACGCGCGCGGTCTGCGCTCGCCGGAGAGAGAGCTCGGGAAAAAGAAAATGCGAGATGGGGATCGATCGAAGGTGATAGAGAAGCGGGAGAAGGTTCGATCTAGTGTCGTACAAGTCTTGACAAGTGAGCTTTTGAGCTTAATGTCACCATGTTATGTTCCATCCACTGAAAGATATATTATATTACTGTAGTTCTAAGACGGCGGTAAAGACAGAAAAGAAGATCCTCCCAATTTGATGAGACTCTACGGAGTCTAAAACCAGGGTCGTTCAGATGCATCTTCTCAAGTGTTTGTCACCTCGAAACAAGGATTCCCGGTCCGATCCTGGCGCGTCTTCACACGGTTCCTGGTGATCTCCTACCCTCACTGCCAGGGATCGACCATCCTCATCGCACCACCGTGGGTTTTGGACCGGAAGTGTTGGTCACTCGTTGAAGGTGACGCAGTGACATGCAGTGACGCTCGGTGCACTTGCGAATTCCCCTTCAGAAAGCTCGCAGGTCACCATCCGAATTCAGTTACCACTGGTTGATTCGTAGGTCATCGCTTCTTGCAAAGACCAAAGTACTCAAAAATAGTCTAGAGGGATCGAGGCTGCTGAATGACCCCTAGGATGAATTCTGGGCCAAGCTCGCCAAAACAAAGCATAAAAATCAATGGAAATTGAAATCACATCCTGAAAACATGGCCCATGCCCAGACACTCCATGGGACTTGCATATTTACATACTTTGGGGTGGTTTATTCAGGGGTCAATGTGGTCCTATATATTATGTTTCATGAATTGTGTGAAGCCCGATTTTACCAACCTTAGCACATCTCAGTGGTCTACGGAACCACAGGTGCGGGGTACTCATGTTCTCGTCCGCAGGCGCGCCTCTTGAGCTCAGACTTAGACGGAGTGTTAAAAGGGTGGCACGGACCGCCTAAGCCATGTTTTGATCCTCCTTGTTTGATCTCGTCTTTCCGCTTTCGCACGACGTTCGCAATCTACGCAACTTGGCGGTTTGACACATTGGTGCCGCGGAGCCTTGTACGTTCAGGGCCAGTTTTTCCTTTTTGGTTTGTCCCCTCGAGGCTTCTCAGAGAGATGTCCAAAGATGTTGGTCAGGGATCCTCCTTCAACAGGGTTCCTAGTTGGGGTGGCCGACCTGAAACCTTTTTTCATTACATCACAGAGATCAAATGGCATTTAGCTGGAACGAAATCCTCAGAAAGACCGTATGCAGCAGCAAGATTAGTTCGTCGCATCTTGGAGAGCGATTATCCTTCCCTCAAGTCCTTGGCCTACAAACTGGACCCAGCGGACTTCACCACCGAAGATGCTGTGACTCGTCTGATATCATTTTTGGAGGCTTCGCCAATGAACCGGCAGCCAATTCCGGATGCTGGGCGGCAGTTGTCCGCCTACTACAGGCAGGAAGCCACAGGAAACCATTCCTCAGTTTTTGGTTAGGGAAGAAACGCTGTATGACTCCATGTGGCGAGCCCTTCAAAGGTTGCTTCGGGAAAAGGAATTGGATTTCGACCAGTATGATTGCTCTCTAGATGAATTGAAAGATTTTTGCGGCATGGCGGACAAGAGTTTCTATGTCCCAGGGGAGTTTGAGCGTGAGTCAACTCACGGGCCCTTTTCTCAGGGTTCCGGGAGCGGGAGTGGGAGCACTCATCCATCTCGTTTCGCTGGAAACCGTGAACCAAATGCAGAAGCAGAAGATGAAGACCTGCCACAGCCGCCACTGTCCCGATCGCAGTCCGAATCTCACCACACTATGCCAATCGGTTCAAGTCCTCAGAAACCTTCCAAGCGCCTTGACTTGATTGAGAGGTTGATGCAGAAAGGCTTGATCCCGCTCGCGGCCTTAGACATTATTCGAGGCTGGCTTTTGTTGGAGTGTGCGAGCGCCACTGAACTGGACAAGAGTCTGGTCAAAGCAGCAACGCAAAACAAGCTCGGATACCAGAACATTCGATCAGCCTTGTTGTCACTCCACGAAGACCGTGGTATGCGAGGGATCAACAATCCTCCCAAGGGTTTTGGACGGGGCAAAGGACATATGGCAAATATAGTGGAAGAGTTTGAGGGTGAGGACATGCAGTACCAAGACTATTGGGGCAGTAGTCATGACTATCCTGAGGGTGAATACCTTGAGGATGGTTACTATGGTGAAGAGTTTCAGGAGACCGCAGTTGATCCTCAAGCTGAAGAGTCTGAGGTGAATCCAGAATCCATGACCGAGGACCAAGCTTTGCATGTGATTTCACAGCTTCAAGAAGAAGAGAAAGAGCTGAATGCCATGATGGTTGATGCTCAGCGCAACTTGGAGCAAGCTAGACGTGCAGTCCAAGAAGCAAAGAAGGATCGTGGCTGGAAGAGCTCAGGTTCAAAGGGTTCTCCACCACACGGTTCCCAGAAGGGCACCAGCACGTTCATGCAGGGCAAGGGACATCGGTCACAGACCAATTTCTTTCAGCAGAAGGGGCATGGGTTTCATGGCAAGGGCGGCTACCACAACCGTCCTTTCGGTTCCTCTGGTTGGCGTCCACCGCAACAGAATCGTTTTGCAGGGCGTTCAAACTTTCAGAATAGGAATCAGATGTCTCAGAGACCTTCCTCTCATGCTGGGATGTTCATGGAGCCTCAAGAGCACCACATGATGACTATGACAGACATGATCCCCGAGGCAGAATTCTCACCAGACCTTTCCTTTTTCCCAGTGAGCCAAGCGGATTCGCGTGCTGCCATCCGACCTGAAGAGGCTATCATCGATTCAGGTGCAACGGTGTCAGCCGGTGGCGAGACAGCTGTGAAGAACCTTCTCCACAGTTTGGCCCAATCGCGGCCAGACCTTAGCTTGACAGTCGTCACAGAAGATCGGCCATATTTCCGCTATGGTTCGGGATCATGGGGTCAGGCTAGTTACAAGGTGAAGCTCCATTTTGGTTCCATAACCCTACAACTGTATGCACTTCCTTCACCGGGTGTTCCTGTTCTGTTGGGTATGAGAGAAATGCAACAACTGTGTATGATAGTGAACCTCTCCAATGGTCATGCAGTTGTTTTGGGCGAGATGAGACACCTCAGACTGACTCCCAAGAGACAGATTCTTTTCAGCTTCTTGAAGGACCTTCCCGTGCAACGACAACAACATTCTGCAGCCAGATCTCCGAAAGCCGAATTAAGGACAGACCGAACTCGTTCATCAGCACGTGTGGCACAGCAGTCACAGCAGTTGATGACCCTTTTAGATTTTTCGTTCGAGCCCAATTTTGAAGAACAGCCATGTTTTGTGGTACAAGAATCACAACAGTCGGATGGCATTTTCGCAAACTCCATGTTTGAGCATTTGTGTGTTTCACCAGAGCAGTGGCAATTTTTGCAATCTAGCGCATCTTCAAGCTCAAAGCAAGTGACCTTCGATTTGAGTCAGCCTGCCGAATCTGTGATCCAATATGGCAAACACCGAAGAGTTGGAGAACAAGATTCAGGCGGCAGTGGAGCGCGCTTTGGCCTCAGCTTCGGCGAAAGTGACGCCGAAGGCGAAAGCCAAAAAGGGGCCGAAGGGAGAGCTGGATCCAACTCGGACCATGGGAGTCCATACCCAAGATCCTCGTGCGAGCAAGGACTTTTGGCCATGCAAAGGAAATCACGACCCCAAGCAGTACTCCAACCCTCACGGAGCTTGGCTGGAATGTCAAAAGTGTGCCCTTCGGATGCAGTACACTCCAATGAAGGGAGCATCAGGTCAGAGCACTCACATGGACCTGCCTTCCAATGTCGTCCGGGCCATGGAGCACCTTCGTATGGAGGGATTCAAGGAGAACGATGTCGACTCACGTCTTGTGAAGAAGACGATTCGTTACATCGAGGGCCAAGAGCTCATCAAGGCCAAGAAGCCCGGGAAGACTCACGGCGACTTGGACAAAAGGGAGAAAGAGAAGGGATATCCAGCAGCCAGCGCCTCCAATCCGACTCCGGGGCCGGAGATTCACAACTTGGCCAGCGACGACGATTCGTGGGAACAGCCAACTCCCATGAAGAAGAAGGTCGAGAAGAAGACAGAATCACCGTAGAGAGCTTGAAGGAAGATTCATTTCTCCATCCCTTTGGCAATCACCCCACTAAGAGCAAAGAAGACATGCAGCACAACGAGCTCACACCGGATGCAGTCCTGAGGGATTTGACAGCTAGTTTGAAGTCTTCAGTTTTTAGCATTGAACAGCAGTTGAGATCGCTTCAAGAGCAACGGTTTAGTTTGTGGGAGATGTGTTGTTCGCCAAATTCGACCTTATCCAATGAAGTGATTCGCAATGGATTGAAAGCTCAAAGATGGACAATCGAAGAGGGTTTTGACCTTGAGAAGCCAGAGTGTGTTGCTGAAGCGATCAATGCACTGAAGAGGGATTGTCCGACAAAAATTTGGGCATCTTTGCGTTGCACTCCTGGGACATCGATACAACACATCAACCAACGGACACCGCAACAAGTGAACAATTTGCGGAGAATGCGTTTGAGATCAAGAAAACAACTTCGACACATCTTGGAGATTTTTCGCCAAGCACTGCTCCAGGACTCTGGAACGGACTTCTACTTCGAGTGGCCAAAGAACGCAACAGAAGGCTGGCGACTTCATGAATTGGAACAATTTGAACAATGGTACAATGCAACTTTTTCCAAACCTCTTTACAGAACAGTGGTCCATGGTTGTATGGTTGGTTTGTTGGATGAAGAGGGCAATCACCTACACAAGCCGTGGCAGATCCTGACAAGCGACCAACACTTCCATATACATGCTGGGATTACATGTGACGGACAACATACACACAGATGTATTTTAGGTTTGGGAACACATGCAGTTGCAAAAACAGCCTTTTACCCTGTGAAGTTTGCGAAGAGAATTGTTCAGGTTTGGAAGCACGAGCAATTCTCAGCATCAGAGCCCAAGATTTTACAATCACTCCACACGATGGACCAGGCTCAAGATCCTCATCTGCACCCTGACCGTGCACTTCAAGCTTTTCAGAATCTGGAAGATGCATATCCGGTCGAACGCAAACGTACACACACTGAAACGCAAGATGGGGAAATGGAGACAGATCAAGCAGCAGAAGACGAAACTCTGGAACAGGACCCAACAGTTTCAAACAGTCAAGGTGGTAGCAGCATATTTCCTGAAGTATCTCATGAAGAACGTGAAAAAGGTAAAGTTCTTTTGCACCGACTTCACAAATCCGCAGGTCATCCTTCAAACCAAAGTCTAGCCCGACTGATTCGAGATCGAAAACTACCTGGATGGCTAGTGGATGAAGCGAAGAAACTGCAATGCACTCAATGTTCTGAGGTACTCCCTGGAAATCAACTAGTTCTTCACCGTTCCATTGGAGAACATCCGAGACCTTGGCAGATGGTGGGCATGGATGTCTTCGAACTACATTTTCCATCACAGAGGGTTAAGGGACGTTTTCTGTTGATGACATGTCTTGCAATGCATTTTACAGCAGTTGCACCACTTTGGATTGGAAAATTTTCACAGACTGGAACGGACTCTGGTGAGAAACTGATTTCCACGTTTTGTGATGTTTGGCTACATCATCGTCCTCGACCAGAATGGGTGGTAGTAGACTCACAGTCAAGCCTCATCAACGGTTATTTCCCTACATTCATGCACACAGCTGGAATCGGTATGTTAGCTTCTCCAGGGGAAGGACATTGGATTCATGGGAAGACGGAAGCTATGGTACGAACCATCAAGCGTACTATGAAACGAATACGACAAGAACATCCTCTACTAGCTCCTTCAATTGTTGGCACACTAGCTTCACATGCAGCAAACCACACTGTTCGTTCTACTGGTTTTTCTCCGGTGCAATGGGCCTATGGTTATGACCCCGATGAGTTAGAGAGAAAGAATGACCCGTTGCAAGCGAATGGAGAGAAGCTTTTTGGTCCTAGACATTTCAAAGAATTTCAATCCATGCGTGCTCGAGCAGGTGAACTTTTCCGTGAAGAATCTGCACGTCAAGCTGTGTCTCGACTATGGAATTCTGCTCCTCGACCTTTGATAGATTATCAGGTTGGAGACTTTGTCATGATTTGGCGCACTATGACATTGAAAGCACGAAAACGGGATGAAAACTACAATCCAGAAGCAAGATTTTTTTGGACCAGGACGAATAGCATTGATAGAGCCTACAATTTTGGAAGACAAGCGGAAGGCTATCATTTGGGTTCTTTGTGGAACAAAACTGTATAGGTGTGCACGTGAACAGCTAAGACCAGCAACTGAACAAGAGACAGTGGTTGAGATTCTGAGATCAGGTGAGATTTTGTCGAAACCTCGTACTGAACTTCTTTCACGACTGAAGAATTTCACAGATGTTTCACAAGAGCCTTTTTCTCCAGATCATCCTGAATACCAATCAGAGGAGACTGAGCGGAAGAAAGCTCGACTGGACACCGTGTCAGCTCTGCGTGCCAGGTGGGAACAATTGGTATCGATTAACCAGAACCGGAGGCAGGAAGGACTTCCTCCATTGATGCAGCTTCCAGCCCAAGTGTTGGAACAAAGTCCAATGATGTATACTTTTGAAGATTCTGATCCACAACATGTTGAATGTTCACCCGGAGTTCAAACAGCAGAAAACACAGTGAGGAACATTCATCTGTTGGATCAAGAGACGCAGAAACTGGTTTTGGAGAGAATCCACTTGCTGGAAGAGGAAGTCAAGATGAAACAAGAGACAGTGCAGCTTCATGAAATGATCACTCAGGAACGCGAAGATGAAGCTCACTTCCTGTCCTTCATCCAGGACGACTTCCAGAGACCCGAGAAGGACCGTCAATGGGTCTTCCAGATTGAGTTCGACGTTTCGGAAGAGATTGCTGATGCTAATCCGTTTTTGTACGTGAAGCGAGTCTTGGAAGGGAACAAAAACGTAGAGATTACCTACAAGCAACTGTCTCAGGAGCATGTTCCTTTGTTTGATGAAGCAAAAGCCAGAGAGGTCGCTGAAGTTTTGGGTTCAATGGCACTTCGCGCAGTACAATCTAAAGAAGAACTGAAAGAAGCTTTGAGCCATCCTGAACGCCATATTCCCATGAGGTGGGTCCTTACTTGGAAACCGATTCAACCTCCTGAACCTCCGCCTCCAGGTAAACCAACTTCAGTGATGCCAGACGGTAGTTGTAAAGCTAAAGCTCGGGTAGTACTTCTAGGGTTTAAACATCCAGACCTTGTGAAGAGAAATCCAATCACAGGTCAGCCAGAACTTAAGACAGCAGCACCGACCATTTCACGCACAGGGAGAAACCTTCTCCTTCAGTGTTTTGCTTTCGATGAACATGAGATTGAATCTGCCGATGCTAAATCTGCATTTTTGCAAGCTGCTAATTGTGAAGAAGATAGGCGCTTGTGGACGAAAGCAGTTCCAGAGATTGCAGTGTCTCTTGGACTGAAACCAGGGCAATTGATGCGTGTCTTGGGTGCCATTTATGGCCTTACCAATGCTCCTCGCATCTTTTGGCAAGATGTAGATTTGAATTTCCAAAAGCTCGGTGGGATTCCTCATCCCATGGATCGATGCATTTGGGTTTTTCGTGATCTCGAAGGGTCGGTTTTTGCCAGAATTGGTAGTCAAGTAGATGACTTTCTAATGGCAGGAAATCCCAAGAATAAGTTTTGGATTGCTTTGAGAGAGATAAAGGGTATGTATCAATGGAGTCCTTGGAAAAAGGGTGATTTTGTGTATGCCGGATGCCGAATTCGCCAACTCACTTCCTACTCCATCCATGTCTCGCAAGAAGATTTTTGCAACTCTTTGTCTCCTGTGGCAATTCAATCAGACGGCTCTCGCAGTGACAAAGATCCGATGACTCCATCGGAAACTTCGCAAGCTCGAGCGCTTTTGATGAAAGCGCAGTGGAGATCTTTGCAGAGTGCTCCTCAATACGCTGCTCGAATTGGCATAGCTTCTTCCACGTTGTCGGATGGAAAACTGGCAAACTTGAGAGAAGCAAACTCTATCATTCGGGATATGCGTAAGACTGCAAAGGAAGATCTGGTTTTTCACAATTTCAATTTTGGAAGAACGAATAGATTGAAATACACAGATCTTGTTTTCTTGCATTGGGGTGATGCTGGACACAACAACAGACCGACAGGTGGTTCGACCGGCGGGTTTGTTTCTGGAATTTCTTCACCGGAAATCTTGAAGGGCAATGAAACGCCTGTAACCTTGATTGATTGGAGATCCTGGAAACTCCGACGTCCTGCCAGAGGGACGAACTGCTCAGAAGCTCAAGGAATTGCAGAAGCTGAAGACAAAGGCTGGAGAACCAGACTTATGTTTGCAATCCTGTACGGACACACCCTTCGACTTGGGAAAGCAGACACTCTGACTTCCATGTTCACGAGTCTGTTGATTATGGACTCTCGCGGGTGCTATGACCTACTGGTGAGCAATGAATCTCTTGCCATGTCAATGTCAGACTCTAAGGCTGCAATAGACCTACTTCATGTCCAGAAAGGAATACAAGATGGTACAAACTGTTTTGCTACGTGGGTGCCTTCAGACCTCAACCTAGCTAATTCTCTCACAAAAGCTTCCATGGATGCATATAGAGAGATGAAACTGTTTCATACCAACAAAAGCTGGATAGTGAAGTTCAACGAAGAGTTCATTTCTGCTCGTAAGATGCAACGACTGCGAACACAAAAGAAGAAAGAAGAGCAGAAACAAGGCCTGCATTTTGCAGATATGCCAGAAGTTTGGATGGATGATGCCTGGACCAACCTTTTTGCCACAGCTTATCTAAGATAAGCGATCGCAGATATCTTCTCTTCAACTCTAAAAGCACTGAACCTGTGCTAAGTTGAGAGGAGTTTCATTGGTGTTTCATGAATTGTGTGAAGCCCGATTTTACCAACCTTAGCACATCTCAGTGGTCTACGGAACCACAGGTGCGGGGTACTCATGTTCTCGTCCGCAGGGGCGCCTCTTGAGCTCAGACTTAGACGGAGTGTTAAAAGGGTGGCACGGACCGCCTAAGCCATGTTTTGATCCTCCTTGTTTGATCTCGTCTTTCCGCTTTCGCACGACGTTCGCAATCTACGCAACTTGGCGGTTTGACACATATTACAATCCCATGGAGTGTCTGGGATTGAATATCTGCATATATCACCCGATTCACCAATTCTCTCTTCCCTTTTTCACCTCCCCATTGACCAATTCCTTTTGCCCCCGAAAACGACCTCTCCTTTTCACCCCACGTTTCTTCCTTTCACCCAAGCGTCACCATGCGATCCTCCTCCACGGTAAACTCTCCCTCATGCGGCGGTCGGTCCATCACGGGAAAGGGGGTGCCCAGCTCCACTTCCTCTTCACCTCGGCGACCGAGGTGATCCGAGCACCGGAAGCACGGGTCCTCTTCGCGCTTGGACCCGGAGCGTCTCCCAAACCGCGGTTCCCTCCCGGGTTCCGGTGAAACCGCTCCCGGAGCTCGCGGTGTTCGCGGAGCGGTGAACAGCTCCGGGTCCGAAACGCCCATGGAAGAGGGTGATACCCCGCGGATCGCGGCCTGACATCGCGGCCTGACATCGTTTGCTAAGCTTACCAAGCCAAACCCCGTATGGTTTGTCTCAAAAAGTAACTGGTTTTACGCGTGTCTAAACATTTACACAGTTTTAACAGGGATTCACTTTTTCTATATGGTACCTATCTTGGGGTGACAATAGCAACGTCAGTCTCTAGAACCGTGGGGATCGGACAATGAAATCGCACTTCATGGATGGTTGGATGAAATCTTTATGAAACTGATCGCATCCGATGCATCCCAAAAGTTTGAGCGATTTAGCGTCCACAATTCGTTTCGTCTGGGTACCCTGTCTCAGACATTCTCAAACAATCATGGAAGTGCTACACAGGCCCTTGGAGATCATTTTCTGCTACTGGGGGCTTCCAAATGATGGTCAAAGGGAAGATCTCTTCATTTGGTCCATTCATTCAAGGCACTGGCCGCTGGGCCTTTCAGTACCCGTGGCACGGTGGCAAACCAGCCAACCAGTAAGAGTGCTTGGCAGTTGGAAAAAACATGTACTTCACGACAACTGCAGCAAGTCATGGGCAAACGGACAAACCAGTTCTGTGTTGGGAAATATTCGAAGAAGTGTTCTGCAAATCTCTTCTTCCCGATCCACCACGCCATCCACCATCTACCACGCCATCCCGGGCCGAAGGAGAAACGGTTGCTAACGCGGCGTATACGCAGGTGGCTGGTGCTTCCAACCCTCCCACGATGGATCCCCCATGGATCCAGTGGACTCCACATCTTCCAAGGCTCCTTTGATCACAACAACTGGGATATCCGTGTCGGACAACACGTTGCACCACATCTCACCTTGGCCGAAAAAGCACTATATGTTTTGGCTAGCCCTGATAATTGGCTTCGTGGAGAGATGGGAGTACCCATTCCATTCTATCTCCTATAGTACTTCAATTTGGGAAATCAACCCATCCTCTTGGAACTCCAGGTATGTGGCTGGTTTTGCTCGTGCGACCTGAATTTCGGGCTCGGGCCGTTCGCCGGTCCGTGGGAGACGCTTCGCTTCTTCGTCCGGCGCGGAGACGGCGTGAGTTCACCGGATGGCCTGATGGCCTGATGTGCCCAAAGGCTTCGAATTCAGCGGAAAGGTCCCAAGGCTTAAAGGTCTGGAACTCTTGGCACTATATATGGGACATCTATGGACTATGGGGAGACAATGCCGAAAGCTACAGCTCTGCCCACCTGCTCGGCTCCGGACAGACCTTCCCAGGCTCTCCGCACCACCCGTCGGTCGCCGGCCCGCGCATCTTTTCGTCGCCCCCGTCGGTCGTCCGCTCGTCCGCGCGCGTCCGCGCGTTGGGCGAAGCCGTCGACTCCAAGAGCCGAAGGAGCTCTGCTTTCCTCGGGTTTTCCGAGACGACGGGGGGAGGATGTTCATCGATCCTCGATGTAGGATGTAGGTACGTGCGTGGGGGGACTGTGTGGAAGAGAGATGCCGTACGTACTTGTTGTGAGCGAAACGTATAAAGACCTGCAATAAAGGTCGTTTCCAGGTACAAGCAATTTGATCAACGTTTGGATTAGGAAAATTACAATTGCCCTCCCTGAAACAGTCATGGAAGTGGAAACTCACCGGTTTGTGGAGGAAAACATTCTTCCAAGAGGCCATATTCCACTTCCATGTTTGTTGAAGGGAGGGATAGGGAGGGTATATACGTTACATACAACGCCGATCTCTCCATCTGAGCTGCCGGGAGTGCCCGCCTTTTGAGGGCTCATCTTCTGGTCGATTTCTTGGTTCTTCGTGGCTTCCCCAAACTACCTGACCCTCCAGACATCTCAAGATGTGTTTATAGATTGGAGAAATCACACCTTGAGGCTGGGAAGATCTGCAATGACACCTCCGAAATCACCGTATACCTTCGAAGCCTTGGTGTTCGAGTCTGGGACCCCAGACTTCGGTGAACTGAGGGTACCAATCTCTGCGAAGTCTTGGGGAACTTTGGATGGTTGGGCCGGGGAACTTCCATCTTCAATCATAGGATACATGAGGTGCATGGCCACGGAAAAATCCCCTGCATCAAAGAAGGAACATCGATCTGTGACACACTCATTACTCATGGCATCCTTGGATCTGTCTTTCTGTGAGTAGATTGCATCAAGCACCGATGATATTCCGAACCCTCCAAAACCCCGATATCGGAGATCACTGGGGGATCTAGCATGCTCTAGCCTTCTCAGGTGTCCGGAGACTTCCGAAGCTCTAGGGTAAAGAAACTGCTTGCCGGTGCTGCAGCAGACTCCTGGACTTTAAAAGAGAGATCACTGTGTTTGTTTGGTGTCGCGCCCTCGGGACCTTTGGAGCCGCTCTCAGGGTAGATCGAACCCCGGTCCACCCCGTGATCTTTGAGAAGACAATTCCGAGCCGGAAGAAAGCAAGTCGGCCACTTCTGTGGTGTATCACCACCCAAATCAAAGACTGTCAAGCCAAAAGGTCTTGAGTTCCACGTGTTCCATGTCTCAAATTCGCTCCGAGGGTCAGTTGCTCCAGGTAGCTTTGCCGCTCCTTGGGCTCCTCCAGTCCTGACGAGGCGACGGTAGCCTTGCCAGCGTAGCACCACCCACCACCAATGAGTTGAGTATTCCAGAAGCCCTCATGTGACCTTCACGTGGGTAGTCCAGAAGGTCATATGAGCACGATCTTGAGCATCGGCCAATGCATCACCATCACATTCTAGAAACCCTCCAAGAAGGTCATGGGAGTCCTGTCAAGTCCCATCTGGGTCGGAAGGGCATACTTGATGCTGGTCCTCCTTCCGATCCATCCAATCTTCTGAGGTCGCCTTCTTTTCTGCCAATCTGCCGATCGATCACAAAAGGCCTCGAGCCTTCGTTTTTCTGGCTGGTCACCAGTGGATCATGCCACCTTGGCTCCTGGGGTGCATTCTCATCACGAACCTCTAACGGACTCGGACCTCATGGCCCAGCGAGCTACAGGTCCCAGGCCACCCGCAGAAACATCGCCCTGTCCTGGTGGAGGAGTGCAGCTAATGCGGCCTGGGTGCCCGAAGTGGCCATAAGGACTTCGAACATTGCATGAATGCTGCAGATGTGTGATCTGCCAGAATTTCAAGATGAAATGTTTGTTTAGGTTTAAAGGATTTCGTTGAACTTCCTTCAACAGGAGGATGTGTTGGGCAATCATCTCAATCTCGCCCTCACTTACAAGCAATCGCCTCGTTGACGTGAGTCCAAGTGGCTCAAGGCCTTCTCAGCCGCAACCTTAATCACCTGGTGCTGCGCGGGGGGGGACCAAGAGACCCGAAGACTGCAGCGCCGGAAGACTACAGTGGGCCATCGGTGAGAAATGGCGGCACCCCAAGATGTCTTGAAAGATGGAGGTCCTTAACCACCGACATGGGGGGTAATGTTTTGAGCTATTCTGGCTGGCACTAGCCCACCTTCTCGCGTGTGAAGTCCAAAAAGTGATGATCCATTGAGCTACTACACTGGATATATGCTATATAATTATAATGATATATATATATATACTATTCTAATTACGCTACTGGTCACCTAGCCTAGGAGCATGTTCGGAGGAAAATTGTCAATGATCGAAGGCCCAGCTTCCGTACCCTTGATGATTCTGCCTTTATATGTGATAACAAGTGAGTGCCACTAAAGACGCAAAAGGCAACTTACTGGACCTGGCTTAAACTGGTTTCAAACAAACACATCTGCTCCTCCATACGTGTACGGTGTCTAGATTCGGATCTTCTTGAATATCAAACCAGAGTAGGTGGGGATGAATGGGTATGAATTCCCTCTAAAAAGCTCTTCTGCGCTCTGTACGTTTCTGTTTCTGGAAATTCACCAGTTTTAGTTGCTTTCTTAATGTTTGTTCCTGAGGATCGGGTCTTGCCTTAAAAGTATTGGTACTTGGTACATCCTCACATTCCTATGGAAAGCAACAGTTAATCGCCACTTGCAACTTGAAACAGAACAGCTTCTTCGTTTGTGGATACCTACCGTTCGCCTCCCGAGGGAGGGTAACTAGTTTTTGATCTACTCTAACGTCCAGCTGGCGACCTCCTCTTTTCTTAAAAGAAACTAGCTATCAGTTTCAAACAGTTTCGCTCAAAGAGAGAACTGGATGATCTTGTTGGTCTTTTGGATGATCTTTTGATCTTGTTGGCCTTTCTGTCCCACCTCCTTCTGGTCGCTCACCACCGTCACTTGCTGCAATGCCACCACTGCCTGCGCCAGGGCGGTGGTCTGGTGCAGTCCAAAAGGGCTTCCTCCCCAGCACCTTCCAAAGAGTCACCCATGGACCACCCGAAAAAACACCCATGATTTGCTTCGGTTGGTAACCCTGGTATAGCCAAGTTCTCAACAAATCATCGAAATGAAGACCAGACCGTCTCTTGACTAGTCGTTTACTAAGTCAAGCTATTCTTACTGGAACGGTGCTGTGAAAACAAAGGATCCATTGACCAAACCGCCTTGTGAGCTGGTATCCTAGGCTGCAGGTGGACAAGAACCACCAGGATTGGCATGTCCATACTCACAGTTCTTTTCCATGCGTGTGTGATCGTGTGTGTATTAACTGAAAAAAAAACGCAGGGTGCCCGGATGGTCCTCCGTGCCCTCGTGCGAGGTTGTGCCGGGTCCGCCCGGATCAGGACTCGAGAGATGGTTCTCTGGCAAGAACCCACCTGACCCATGGATGCAAAGACCCAAGAAGCAAACACATCCACGCCCAGGGGGGGGCCCTTACCATCTGGCCGTAGTAGTGGGATCTCACCGCTTCGGTGCTTTGGGAATGTCAAGACAGAGTGGATTTGAAGGATTCAACGTGATCCACCATGTCAGGTTCGCTGCTTGTAGGATCAGAGTCGTTTGTTATTGGACAAAACTACCAAGATCAGTGCTTTTCGGACACCTTTGGCGGGCCAACTGGCTAGCCATGGCACCCAACAGCTGTAGTGTCGGGTCTTAGAAAGCGATTCTCTCGCAGGTTAATAGTGCCAATGTCCATGTTGCCCGCTCTGGACAAAGAACATGGAACTCGATATTCACCTCCTGTGACGGTGAACTGTTTTGGGGAATTGATTCTTCAAGCTTCTAAGTGCCTGACGCGCTGGGCTCTTCAGCACCAAAAAGATCTTAAAAGCCAAAGGCGAGGGCCAGCTTTCCAGAAGCACCACCCATCCTCCCTTCTCTCCGTCAGCGCCTGGATCCGTACCTTGAGGTTCTCTGTGCCCAGGAGCTCACCTCAAAGCGGATCCCGTTTTGGCCGCCAAACACTCGGTGGGCAGCTTGGCTGGAGGCAAGGGAGTAGTCTAGTCACTCTCGTATGATACATATGATCATTAATAATATATGATCTACAGTTCATCATATTATATATATATTGTATATTAGTAATAATAGATGTATGATAATTATATATATATGATATATGTTCATGCTTATATAGTATCATCTAATACTCATGGCTGTATTTGGCTGTGCTAAACGTTTTTCAGAGCTGAAAGGAACGCTGAAACCGATGTTCGACTCCATTCTCATCCATTCTCATCCATTCGGTGCAAGGCTAGGTGGGCGAACATCAAGTTGACATGGTACACAGCACAGGGCGACCATGTGCAAACAAAGGTCAAACAGCAACTCCTAAACTGATCCTTTGTGTCTTCCCCAAATCAACTGATCATCTTTCATAAGAAGCATGCCCACGTCACATTAGGTTATTGTGTATAATATATATATATATATTGTGGAGATGAACTAACAGAAGGTATCTGGGCTGCATTTATGCAGTTCCAGCAAACCAATGGTGGGATGCCAAAACCTGCCCCCATTGAATGCTCAGTTCGCCAATCCAAGAAAGGCAGTTCAGGATTCAGAAGGCCAACCATCTATGGTACCGTACCATGTAAGGGCATGGTACTTCCCACCCTCACAACCCCGACCAAGACACTTGAGAGTACAGACCATCTATACCATCTATGGCTGTGAAGACCACCAGGAGACCGACCGGGCACGAGCAAGACGTCGGTGGCACTCATTCGCTAGACCAGGACTGGTCGGACTGGCTGAACAACCCACGGTCGACCAAATGCCGAGGTTTTTTGTGACCCGAACTACACGTCACCTGGGGTACCCAACTGGGATAGTCATGGATAGTCTGTTTTGGGGTTCTTCAACCTCTGTTGGTGTTTGACCCTGAAAACCCACCGGTCGTTCTCGTGCCAACCGGCGGCTCGCCGGATCCGTCGAAGAGGAGTCCGTTCGTTGAACAGGTTGCCAGGGATCTGGTGGCGTCCACTGGGGTCGTTGGAAGGAAAAAGGGCACCCAAAGAAGGAATTTTCCTGTATACTTAGTATACTAGAAGAAGAGGTCCCTTACTAGGTATACTAAGTATACTTCCTAGTATACCATTAAGATACTAAGTATACTAAGAGGTCCCTAGTATACTAAGTATACCACTAAGGGACCTCTTCTTGGTCGACCTTCTGGAGGTCCCTTCGTGGTGGGCTGGGGCTTCCAGCCAGGTGACCCCGACATGAAGGTGCTGGTACCAGCGTCCAAGTCTCGCCACAGATGGCTTCGTTTTGGTTCGCTAAGGTATTACGGTATTGCCATACCCTAGGCCTCCAAGTACCTTCTGAGAAGGTGGGACTGGGGTGAGTTTGGAGGTCCAAATACCTTGTGAGGAGGCATCCACCTGCCGAGGGACAAAGGGCATCCATCAGCTCTTGAATCACCTGAAGCTGTCGCCAGGGGCAAGAAGTTTGAATGAATCCTCGATGTGTGTGTAGATCAAAATGATTGAGTAAGAATATCAGTACCAAATGCTCAAACTACAACATGTATACCAAATAGGAAAAGGTGTGCTAGAGTACGCACACAAAACAGGCAAGTTCAATCTTTTGATGAACAAAGGCGGTGAAGAAGAACGTTCTGGCAGAAGCTGCAGAATTCGATGCAAAGGATCGACAACTCTGGGATGTCTCACTGTGCAAAAGAGCCACCCAAAACCCAAGGCGTTGCATTTGTCCACCCATGTATGGGTCAAAAGCCGGAGCCGTAAACCAGGGTAGGTTGACCTCCCAGGAAGTCTTTTCTGTTCATTTTCTGTGGTCAACCCAGGGAGCCTGGTTTTGGACCCACACCCACGTGGGTGTCTATTGAAATAGGAAGATCCTCAACCCATGGGTAGACTGGTGTATTTCTCTTCTTCGAGACAATCGAACGCATGTCGGTCGCCCTATTTCAATACACATCCACATGGCCACTTGGCAATTCCCAGACACTCCATCTATGTCATGCTTGCATACATTCGGGTGGTTTGAAAACAAAGGTCAATTCATTCAGCATCTATTCCAATCCCATCAATGATTGTCTGGCCGAACCAACGAACCCCAATTCGGAATGAATGGAGGGAACATCTACAGGAAACCAGGATGTTCACCCCTGAAAATCTATGGGTGTCCTGCAGATGTTCCCTTCAACCAATTCACTAAAACCGTCGCTGTCAGTCACCTCGCTGCCGCGCCTGTGGAAGATGGCTGGCGCAGACAGCCAGTTGCCCGGCCGAGCGGCAGGCGTTCCACTGGCACTTGGGCGGGGGTTGCGCCACAGCTGCAGTCCTCAGCGGGGAGACCCGGGGAGGAGGTGGAATCACGTCGCAGGGATGCTCTGAGCTAGGCCAGGAAAACTCATGGACCATGAAGCAGACCACACGTCGGCCATATTACCAAATCTGGAGTATACTAAGTATACTTGACATTCAGTAGTTTTTCATACGCTTGGCAAAACATGGGTTTGACCAGTCGCCGGTCACTTATAGGACTTGCTAAGAAACAGGCCTGGCGGCCTCTGCTAGCCACAGGTTCGAAGACGGCGCGAACAAAGCATTCCAGAATATGACTATAGGATTTCATGCCCTTGCTCGTCCTCCACCTATTGCTATGGCCACACATCTCCACACCTCTCCACACCAGCTCCCTATGTCCAGGCATCAGCAGCTTGGCCAGGCTTTCCGCCAGCGAACGTGGCATTTCAGCAAAGCCTTCGGCCAGACAGCCGACGGCGCGCAGCCCAGAGGCTCTGGCCTTGTCGGACGCGTCGGAGCAGAGCGGCAGGAGGACCTCTGCGACCTCGGGTGCGACCGCTGGCTTTAAGATGGGCTGATCAGAAGATCTTGAAAGAATCAACATGTTTTTTAGAACAGCATGTTGTGTTTGCAGTCTTGAAAGAATGTGCGACGTAAAATCACCAGCCACTTGCAGGGTCAGTTTCTATCTTCTGAGAATCTACTTGGATCCAAACGGGACTCACAAGACCTATCTGCTTGAAAAACCCCGCATGTTCCATCAAATAGGTATGTATTTTAATAGGGAGACCCCCAACTAATGGGTCTTGGACGGTTCGGAGGTCTACTTCGCTTCTTCCAGTGAGTCGAAGAGTCGAAGAGTCGGTCTCCCTATTGAAAAAAAACACGCACATCAACACACCTACCTGGTCCCTTGAGAACTGTGAGCTTGGTTTCTGATCTCCCGAAAAACTCAATCATCCACTTGAATCGTGTAATCCGTTACGATCATGATGATCTATCCCTAAAACCTGAGTGACCTCTGTTCTTGAAGTACCACCCATCCACACATGATGATCCGCCTTCCCAATGAAGACAGCTGTGTCCTCAGTTTCCACACCCGGTCTTAGACCGATGATTGCATCTCAGCCCCAACCCGCCACCCGGCCATGGCACCTCTCTAAGAAAGGCCCAGCTCATCCAAAAGAGATTTGGATTGAAACCTAAACATCTGGGCTCTTGTTCTACGTGGTACATCTGGGACAAGGCCTGATTGATTTTGTCTCCCAGAACATGCTTCAGCTGGCACCATCTGGGAGTCAGAAAAATAAAATACCTCTTCAACCTCTCTGACTCGGCCTCCCAACACCCGCTCCGCCCCCCCCCCACCCGCCACCCGCCTCCGTCCGCAGCGGACCTTCGCCCAGCCGCGGCGCGAAGCTGGCCAGCGCCGTGGCGGAGGCCGAGCGCACGTCGCCTGAGGACACGGTGTCTAGAGAGAGGCGAATCCAGTTGGTTCAAGCAGTAAACTGAATCCAGGTTGGTGAGTTGAATGTGGCTATTGGTTTCCTTAGGTCCTTTTATATACATATTCCTGTCTAAGAGGCTTTGGGGCCATTTTCTGAAGCACCGCCACACCGAACGGCACACCGAACCGCGTCCGTCCGTGCTCCGTCGGATGCCATGCCGCCTGTGGGATCGGCGGCCAAGGGGATCAGCCACTGCACGGCATCCAACTCGAACCTGGACGCCATGGCACCCAGCGCCTGTGCTGCGGCGGTTCGAACACCGCCATTCACGTCCTGGAGCCCCTGCCGCAGCACCTGCCGCAGCGGGTGCTCCTCCGTGAGCTCAGAGCGCGCGGAGCAGCGCACGAGGCCAGGCAGAGCGCTGAGGAGGCTCTGGCGGACTGAAGCAATGGGTTCTGGACGTTGAGAGATTTGGAAGAGCTGCTCCAGAAAACTGGGAGAGAACTGCCAAGCCTTGGAAGTCACAAACTGAACTGGATTGAAGTGGATTATGTGGAATTGATTGCTGCGCTGTGCCCATGGCAATTCTAATTTTTCAAGTTTGCCAGTCCTAGCCTCAAAAAATACAAAGCCATTCAACATCCATGCCCTTGATTGCATGGATGCAAACTGGTGGGGCTCGAACGACTTCCTGCTTTTGCAAAACGAAGTGACCTCGGAGAGCGGCAGGTCGTTCAGCAGGCGAAAAGCTCGAAGCCGCAACATGGAGCTCTGTTGGCTCACGAAAGACAGCACCAGCTGCTCTAGAAGAGTCAGAGTGGACTCCGGCAAAGCTGCTGGGACGAAGAGCGCTAAGCGGCCTCGCCACGCCACACCCACAGGAGAACCAGAAACGGCCGAATCGAAGAGTACCCTGGAAAGAACCAAGAACATGGGCATTGTTTGAAGATTGGCACTACAGTTCTGAAACTACAACACAGAACCCCACAAATCTAAAGTCATCTGATCTGTGGCGGTGCGAAAAGCGGTGTGAAGAGTTTCACAAACCGGCTGGAGGGTTGACCATGAACATCCAATGGAATTGACTGACCAGAAAATATGCATGCGACGGAATTCAAGAATAACAGGTGTCAGGCACCCGTGGCATCCAGTGGATTGCTGACGTGCTCTGGTCAGTCCAACAGCATAGCCGTAGGCGATCCCACACATTCCTTTCGCAAGATCAATCTTTAGGCCTCCGCCCCAAAAATGCCTTTCTGGGAGGTTCAGGTGGCCCACTCATCTCCATTGCACACACTATCTCCACGCATATCCGAACCCGAAACCCCGGGGCTCCATTCTTCGTGGCCCATCCGTCCATCCTTTCGCTGCTCTGCCTGTCAGCAGGGCGAACTCCTGAATCATCAAGGGCTCCTCGGGCGTCTCGGGCCGCTTCCCCCGGTCTTTGCGCCCGTCGGTACGTCGGGCACCCGTCGGCGTCTGGGGCTTCATCTCGGGCGTCTCGGTCATCAAGCGGAGCATCTGCTGGAAAAGCCAGTCCTCAGGTCTGGAGACGACGTTGGACCTCCCATGCTGGACGTGAATGGTACCAAAACGTACTGTCGGACATGATTCAGCAAGGTTATCGCTTTTGAGAAGGGCCAATCAATTTTGGAAATCAACAATATTCAACAACATAGCTGAAGAGCTGAAGATATCCCAAAACTGCGGGGATGTGATTATCGCAAATGAGGGGGGGCCTATCGCTTTTGCTGGTTTTAGCCAATAATTATATATTGAAATTCAGGACCGCTCTTTACTAAATGAGTCACCGCACGTTTTTGGCAGTTGCTCAGAGAGCGAGAGAGAGAGAGAGAGAGAAAAAAAAAAGAGAGACAGAGAGAGAGAGAGAGACAGAGAGAGAGAGAGACAGAGAGAGAGAGAGAGACAGAGAGAGATATATATATAGAGAGAGACACAGAGAGAGACAGACAGAGACACAGAGAGACACAGAGCGGGGGGGAATGAGGGAGAGAGAGAGAGAGAGAGAGAGATTGTGAAACAGTTCGCTGAAATCTGATCAACCTTTTTTGTCGTAGGCATAGGCAATCTATGCATCGTCATCCTGGATCCACTCATGGACATGAATGTAAAAGATCTTCTGTCTAGGGCTGAAAAAGGATGCTGGTGGACGAGTAGCGCTTGTCAGAACCTGATGATGATTTGGAATGTGCTGGGCAAAGGCTAGGTGCCTTCCTGGCCATCCTTCAAGAAAGGCAATGGAAAAGGATGGCAATGGACATCAACCAACACCAGCACATGCTCCACCGGCACATGCTGGTCTTTCTGCCATCCCTCCAGAAAAGTTGAGAAGCATGGAACATGTACTACCACTTCTGGCCGAGCTGAACACTGTGGTTGTCAGGTTCGGTCATGACTCAAGTCAAAAACAAAGTCTGGAAGATCTGTGGCTTGAACATTGGGTATCTCAAAGTACACAACGTTCAACTAGCCTAGCTATACACATCTTTCATCATCTTTCCATTGTGTTTCCTCAGGTCCTCTATGATTGGCCCAAATTCCAGTGTGTCCATCCATGCACCTTCGGTCCTGTTCCCACAGGCACCTTCCACCCTCTTCCAACACCCAGGCTCTGCAGAAGCCTCGCCCGCGCAGGCCGCCACTGCGCTCGGCCCGCTCGGACGGCGCGTCCGAAAGAGGGCCTTCGTGATCTCGGCGGCGCAGTCCTCGCGCTTCAGCAGCGAGCTCAAGGCCAGGACGAGGGCCAGCACTGGTGGAGAAGCCTGGGGCAACGCACTGGAGGTGAAGCAGGTCGGGAGGTGGGAAGCGACGGTGGGAGGAAAGAACCCTTTCTGGACAGAAAGACTTCGCTGGATGAAGTTGGTCATTCAAGGACCCGGGAGGTTTGCCAGCACCTGGCTGGGGGGAAGTCAGCGATGTGTGTTAAAAAGTGTGAACACTGTTTCCAAGACCTGGAATGATTGTCAAGGCTCACTGGAGCAGTCACCGTTTCTCCGGGTTTTGATCCTTTGTTTGGACCCTCGGTTCCAAGGGCGGTTGCGGGGCGGTAGCTTGAGGGTCCGAACTCTGGGTCGAAAAGCTTTAGCTGCCCACCAGCTGAAAAGTTGGATGCCACTGAAATGCCACTGAATGCCATATCTGGGTCTCTGAATGCCACTGAACTTGAGCTGCAAAACGCAGCCGAACGTGAACCACGAACCGCAATGGAATGGGGTTGGAGAAGGACTTCTGAGGTGGTTGTAAACTTTGTAAACTACAAGAACTTGCAGAAACATCATTGGGCACAGTCGACCACCGTCAACCACTGATCCCAGATCTCTTGTTGCACTGTCGACCGCCAAATTGAAGAATGCTGTGGGAAAAGGGACCCGCCGTGCCAAAAGCTCCTAGAATCCTACCATAGCAAGAGTTCAGTTCCCAAGCAATCCTTGGACTGGAACTAAGCAACCAGTTCCAGAGTGGTCTTCCCGGGAGCAAATTCACTTGGTAAATCTTCCGGTGTCATGGGTTCTTCATTATCCCTACACCTCCAAGTACCTCCTGAGAAGGTATTTGGACCCTCCAAACTCACCCCAAGCACCTGCTCAGAAGGTACTTGGAGGCCTAGGGTATGTTTAATTACTGGGCTGGCGCTTTCCTTTCCGTGGACGGGTGGCCTCAAGTTTCAACTCGCTCTGGTAGGCGAAGGCCAAGAGCTTGTCAAGGAGGCTGGTGATCAAGCCACTTTGGAGCTTGCCTCGAGGGATGGATGAAATGCCGGAATTCCGGCCTCCGATGGTGTTTTCTGGTCTTTGGATGGCACATGATGGCACTATAGTCTATAGTTGTATAATTTGTATCCTGAGGGTCATGATCAAGACCTGATGCTAGGACAGGCCAATGCTTACTGAATTGGAAAGGTCACCGAAGGGGCTGCTCTTTCGGGTCGTTACTTGGGTCGTTTGTGCATTTTGCAGGCGTCAACTTTTGGTTGTTACATGTTGGAGATCCCTGAACAACAGCTCCTTCTTTACCCCAAGTAGCAGTTTCCACATTCCACCAAATCAACATCTCAGTAATTAGGGGTGATTCCAAGAAGCAGCACAGTGTTGCACGCAGCTTTGACCCCCCAAAATGACACCATCATTTGACCCCATGTTTGTGTTTACCATCTCTTCTTCTCTTCTTTCAATATCTTACTGACTCTATCACAGCACCCTTGGGGCCCATACGCTCGTGTCTACGCTCGCGTGTCTCGGCCAACTCGGCAACGGGTGGCTATAAGGTGTGGAGGCCACAAGATCAGCACAGGCGCGCAAGGCGTTCAGTTGATTCAGCTCATCTCCATCCATGAGCTCCATCACCAGCGCATGGCTCCTGGCTAGATTGGGACGAAAAGGGAGCGAGGCCAACAGGCGAGGCGAGCGGCGAGCGGCGAGGAGATCCTGTGAGGATCAAGACAAATAGAGGTCGAACGTGAGGGAAACTATTGACGTCTCAGGTCAATTATCAGGTCTTAGAAATTTGACGTTCAAAACAACGCCTTAAAACGAGTCACTGTTCTCTCTTTCTTTAGGTTGTGTATGTGGAAGGGCGTCAGAATTGGAGGCGAAGTAATTCTTAGCTCCGCCAGTGGGGGGTCTTCGAGCCAGAAGACCGCCCCGAAGCAGTGAACCACATCATGTCGACCAACTTTCATTGAAGATGTGGCACGAAAATTGATCCAATGCACCTCAGTTGTCTTTTCCTTCAGTGGAACTGATCAGTGTAGCTGCCATGCCCAAGCAGCTTTCACTCTCCAGCTTTTTTTGCTGCGAGGTGCTGTCGGATCGTCATCGCCAACTGTCCAGTGAGGGAGGTACTGCTCTGCGCTTTCCTCGGTGGGATCAGAGCCACAAGTCGGTCAAACCCAGGAATAAAAGATCTGTCACATACCAGGACCCCAGTCGGGGTGGTTAAGGGTCACTCCTTGACAGCTAAGGGGCTATAAATAGAAACCCTTGGAGGGTCCTGATATGTCCCCCAGTTCACAAAGGCCAATCAGTCGTGCAGGGCTCACATCTGGCCTGCTGGAGTTTTTGACTTGTTAGTACTTGTCCTGGGCGACTTGGAGAACATGTCCAATGTAGCTTAGCAGAAGCCTTAGTGTCTCCTCAAAACGATGCAGTTGACCCTAGTTCCTCAAAGGATCTAACTAGCTCCTGCATTTTCCAATGTAACTAGCTCCTCAAAAAGATGCAGTTCACCCTAGTTTGCCTCTTGAAACTCCCCTCCCAACTTTTGAAAGATGTCATTCACCACAGGCGTCGGGCACTGGCATCACACTGGTGTCCCACTTGGTCTCTTTTGGGTCGTTAATATTGAGCCAAGACCAGCCGAGCCTCTGGGAGGTCTCCAGTGGAACGGGCCATGCCTTCAGTTGGGGCGCCTGAAGCAAGGCCACTAATGCGGACAAGGCCTGCTGCCGTACACGCACCACCGGATCACGATCACCTGAAGGTGAAAAGAAAAAGAACAAGGCACGGTCGACCCAGGTCGACCCGGGCTGGGGGACTTTACAAGGTGGCACCGTGGCACCTAATCAGCTGGACATGAAACACAGCATTGAGTTCTGAGGTTGTTGAGTTTCTTTTGGAGTGTGGGCGGGTGCCACGCCACCACACTTCTAGCCGGATTTCACTGGGCTACTTGAGAAGATGTGTTGCACAGTGTTGCATCAGCTTTTCAACCGATGGTTAAACATCTCCTGCTAACCTGAAAATGAAGATGAATCAAGTGAATATGAACAGTTCATGTTTCTTGGAGGAGCTACCGCCCAACTGGAGCTTCCCATCCTTGGCCAGGCCACAAATCGACAGCAGCATGGGCCGCTGAATTCCGCTTCCTGGGCGGCACACCTGCGAGCTGGCCGGAGCTGCATCTGCGTGAAGGATTGGATTCATTGGATCCATATGGATGGACCCGCCAGTTGGAGCCCTAAAGTTTCGGGCCTCAAACGGGCTTAGTGAAGAACACCCAAACGTAGAGAAACGACGAGACACATCTCATCTTGAGAGTCTTACCTAGGAGCCAAAACCAAACACTCGATACACTGCGATACAATTACAGTATTTGGAAAGAGTCATCCCTTTCACCTATTGCGCCAATCAAAAAAATAGGCTCCACTGCTTTAAGGGGTCCCTGAAATGGGTGACCCGCAAAGATGGAAACCCAGGGCTTCAAGACCGAAAAGTCGCCTAGGAAAAGTTTAATCAAAAAATCCAACTCAGATCGAAGGGTCTTTCTTCCTTTTCCCTTTACAAAACCTTTAAACTATAGTCATGATATGTCATGATTCTTCTATGTCTTCGCTTGTAAACTGTTCAGCAGACTGACAAAGATTTCGCAAGGTGATGCCGCTGTGCCATGCGGTTTTGTGCTGCCTCGGTGGAAAGTGCATTTGCGTGGCTCTGTGCATGCGTTTGTAAATGCGGCGTGGCGCTAGTGAGGGGCATCATTGGTGGTGTTTCTAGTGGCTGGGTGGACAGAGGTGGACAGTTAAAGGATTGTTTTAGGAAACTAACAAACACATCCCAAAATTGCCCATGTCGTTGGTTCAGTAGTAGGTTGAGAAGGCAATAATTAGTTCAAAGTGTGTGCATATATATATATAATATATATATATATTGGTTTCCGACATGCCGACATGCATGTTCTTTATTGGGAGCGTTTTTTGATAGCAACCCGGGAATATTCATCATACGGTTGCCCTGCAGCCCCTGCAGCCCAGGGTCACACATGGTCACACCCAAAGGGAACCACGGTCGCCATCCTTCATGGAGAATTCTGGAACTGGATGGCATGGGTGCTGGAAAGACCATGAAATCGAATATCAATGAATTGGTCTAAGAGGAAAAATCTTGCAGGAAACCCGCGTTTTCACACCCAAAACTATGGTTTTCCTGTAGATTTTCCCTTAAATAGATTCTAGGAGAATACCCAACAGGGGATTTGTTCACTTCCAGGGCTGACATGTTCCTCACCGCGATGTCCGATTGATGTCCACCGTGGCCTCACCAGATTGGAAGTCGAGGACCAAGGGCCAGCGTCCAAAGAAGGCCTTCGGCCATAGCTTGAAGAGCCTCAGAGTCTAGGACCACAAGCCACATGTGTGATGTGGGACGTGCGCTTCCTTTGTGTGTGTACCCTGTAGACACGTCCTATGTCCAAACTGCAGAGTACCGGCAAAGGAGCGGGTCTTGATTGCAAGACATGGTCCCCCTGCATTCCACTGGATGTTGGTGGTTGGTCGACACCTGACTACCGACCTCTTTTTTGGGGCACAACGTGTTCAACCCGCCACGCGGGTTGTGTCAAGATGGTGTTTCGGGGGTATCGGTTTTTTGCGGTATACATGGATTTGCTTCAACATTTAAAGAGAGAACTGACCAGTACCAGCAAAACCAGTACCATAGAAAGTCCAGGGTACGCGGAACGCTATCACCCACTCACTTCTGGGGTCTCAAAGCCAAAGATTTGTGTGATCCCTGCATCAGGATTGTATTGGATCGTTGCTGCCACAAAGATTTGTGTGTTGGATTCCAAAATGACATTGGTACTTCATGGTGGAGAAGGGTATTCGCAAGTTCCTAGCATTTAGTAAGCTTGGGAGGTGGTGATTCAATGGCAATTTCTTCAAACATTGAGCAGTGCTTCGCAAAAGTTGAAGCACTTATATAAGATTCAAACACTTCATGTCTACAAAGACGTATGACTCAAAGATTCACCTAACTGCACGATGTCCACATACCTAAAGACTGAGTGACCTCTACGATCCTCTACGTATTTATTCTGGACCACCAACCACTCAAAATAAGATCTTTCCCTGTCAAAAAAGAATACCTGCATGGTGTGCTTTTTCTACTCCAAACAGCCAGTCCAAGTACAGTGATTTCCGGACGAGTTTATGCCCGTGTTCCGTGAGAACACGCCCGCGATCCCGAACAGGAAAGATTGAAAATATATTGAAAAATCCACCTGCCAGGCACTGTGCAAAGTTCCTCAGCGACAAGCTTCGGCACTGTGCCTGTAACGTTTGCAAGGCCGTCACGGCGTCCTTGCCTCGCGCGAGGGACTCGGCGTTTGCGAACATCGGTCGACAGGCCGGGTGGTTGGCAGGGTGGTTGGAGGGCTGATCCAGGTGGCTATGAAAAACCACTCCAAGTGCTGGAACCACCGGTGTGGTAGCTGGATCCACCCTGAAAGATCGGTACAGTACGTGGCGTTAGAGTCCCTCAACAGCCGAAGCCTGGAGGGTCCGAACTTACGACCCGACTTCAAGTAAAACATGGAACATCTAACTCCAGGAACTTGTACCCATTGTCATCCATGTTCTGAGACTTCAGGGTGCATGTCTATTTTATATATATATATTTTTTTTTTAATAACCCTATATATGGATCCAACCAGCCATCCTCCGACTGTCGGACAAAACTTCCTCACCTAGCTGCAACGTCCCAAAACCGCCGGAACGTCAGGATGTGGATCCCTAATGATCCCTGAGGATACGGAACCATGTCTAAGCGAGATGGATCTGCCTGATGGATCTATATTTGTTGATCCATTCGTTGAATCCAACTGGCTGATACAATGACCAGCGACCTAGAGACCTTTCGTAAATATGTATGATCATGTATGATCGGTTGAAGTCCATGGCACCTCCTTCCAAAGATTTCCACTTGGACTTCCCCATCCAAAAAGGCCACTTTGCACCCCCTTCCGTCCCTTTGTCAGTCCCTGCCTTCACCACGTCCCTTGCCCTTCCGCTCGGCCGCGCTCTGCGGCTCAGTCTCCGACCATGAGACCGAGGACGAGACCTCGGCGCGCCCCGAGACCTCGGCGGCGGTGCGGCGGGGCAAAACGTAGGGAGCGCCCAACACGGCCAAGGGCTGCAAATGCGCCAGCGCCGTCAGCGCCGAAGCCTAGCTGCGCAGACAGAGGGGAAGAGGCCGACAGACATCACCTCCGGATTTAAGGTGGATAAGATGCCCGGACTTGAGGAGTTAAAAGGCAGAAGAAAATCACCACAAGTAGGGGGATGGTATATAAACTAACCAGTGAGGTCTATACATATCTTTGATCTACTTTGAGGTGCACTTCTCCCAGGTCTTCAGCTATTCCTTGCCCCTCCAGATCCACCACCCATGTGAGTGATCTCCAACTCTCACTGAATTCGACCCCAAAATGCGGGACCCCAGTCCACCGCGTTCGCTAAGAAGTCGAAGTGCTGAGTCCCCCCGAACTTGGTCACAGCCCAATTCACGAACGGTCATTGGTCATTGGTCCATTTGGTGAGAGGTGCTCTTCGGCCCAACTGACCCCCGTTTGCCAATCCGCTCCCCTCTCCCGTCGCCCCTCACCATCCTCGCACCCGGCCTCTAAGGTGTCGCCCGTCACCTCCAACACCTGCGGCAGAGCCTGCAGGAGCTGCACCGCCTCCCGCAGCATCGCCCGGCTGCTGCGCTGCAAGACCACTTCCGAGCAGAGCTGCAACGCCTCGAGCGGCACGAGCAGACCGTCACCGTCGCAGCTGGAGGTGTTCACCAGGCTTCACCCCTTTGAGAAACTTTCTGAAAGAAGACCCTTTCCCAAGAAGATCCTTTCAAACATGTTCAAAGAGTCCTGAGATGTCCTGAGACTTTCAAGCCTTCGCTCGATCTCTCACGCCATCTCACGCCAAACCTCACCAGACTCGACTCCAAGGCACGGCCAACACAGCTGCAGCCAACTCAGCCGAGCCCATGGAGCTCTTCTCCTCTGCCAGCCTCGGGCGCTCGTCTGTTCGTCTCTCGTTCGGTGGGAGAGTTGGGAAGAGATGTCATGGCTGCGCATGGCGGTGTTCCCCCGGTCCACCCTGTTTTTGTATGTTTTTGTTTGATCCGTCGATTCACCCAGGAGCCGTACACGTTTCACCCTGAAAAACGAGGCGTCCCCTTGTGGCGGTCGAAAAAGGGCCCAGAAAAGCCATCTGAAGAGCTGGAGACTTGCCGTCGAATTCCAATCGTCGGACACCCATGTGACCCTTTGGGATGCAACGCGTGCGCAACGGGACGCGCACGATATGCGATGAAGCGTACCGGTTGTTTCGGTGCGTTGGGATTGGGATTGGAGTGAGATGGAGTGAGGGGGGAATCTGACTTTGTTGCCTTTTTTCTTTTCAAGTACAAGTGGTTTCAGAGGTTCAATGGCACTGGCACCCCATGATGTCCTAGACAGATTGATGGGGGTCCATATTAACCAATATATACCACATATTTTGGATAGTTGACTCAGTTGACCCTCCAAAATAGAGGTCACTCATCCTCTAGGTATATCAATATAACTACCGAACTTGGGGTCTGTGCCATCTACTCTAAATCCACTATAACATATAGGCGAGAAAGTATTTCAATTGGACAATGGACATGTCGTGGCGATAATGAAAGAGCCCACACGGCCTCTACTACAACCAGGGTGGAAAGGTTAAATCACTCATAGCATCTCATAGCTGAGCCATGTTTTTGTGTCACTGAATTACTAAATTTCCTCCGCATCCGAACTGGATCGAAGTGAAAATTGCTCCATAACATTCCAGATCATTCCAGATCATCCAGTCTCTTGCTATATTCCTCGACCATTTTGTTCACCAAATTTTTGCGGTTTGATCCACGCTGCTCCAGCTTGATTTCTGGCTGCCCGCCCTCCGTGCCCACCGTGGACCCGCGCCTCTGCAAACAGACCATGGCCTGCGCGGAGCTTGCAAGGCTCCGGCTGCGCTTCAGCGCTGGCAGCAGGCGCTGTTGCAGCTGCAGCTGCTCCAGCTGCGAGTGCTCTAAACTGCCAAGACAACGCTGCAAGAGAAGCAAGAGACTTGCAGAAACCTCAGTCTTCATAGGTCTCAAGAAAGCAAACACCAACCATTGGTCGGATGAACGACAACTAGACGTGTTCACCTGTTCTTTGGGCGCATTAAATCCTTGAACCTGCTATAAGATGTTATAAGTGGACACATGAACAAACAGAGTTGACCCAGGTGCGGGCAATCCTGACCGGCCCAAGGTTAGTGAGTTCCAGTAGCTGACTCAACTGCATAAGTGAGGTGATAATACAGTGATACATCAACATTTCCTGAGGTGGTGTACTTCCTTTCCGCCCAAAGTCTCACTGGAACCTCAGGTCGCCTTGACCTTGACCCTCAGTTCGCCACATGTCAATGTTTGAAGCTCAAGAGGTTGTTCAAGCATGTCTATCTATCTTGTGAATGTCTTGACATCATCGCCATTGGGATTCAATTGTTCCATATCTGTCCAGGGAATTTACAGGTTTTAACTATACGAATATATGATATATGGTTGTCTCAAGAAAACACCCTCAACATTTGGAATGTGTTATGCAGCCTTTTTGCATCTTCCTATAAACGCGAGAGAAAAACACAACAAAAGTGCGACAGTGCCTCTGGGGTGGCAGTGCAAAAGTCAGTGGACATGGCATGTGCGCACTTCTGTCAACATCTGATGTACGTGCGAATCCGAGGGTTGAACTCGCCATCAACATGGGACTGCCAAGAACCAGGGGGATATGTTTTTTCGCCACAAACACATGTGAAAGTGAATCAAATGCGTATTCCCAGGAACGGAGTTTCATGTTTGCTAAGACGGTCAAAACAAGTCAAAAACCAGAATGAAGCATTATAAGACAAAAGGATGGTGCCATGGTTTAAAAAAGGCGTGACAAAATGCTTCAATTTAAGGTGACAATGAAGAAGTGTTGACTTTGATTAAATTGTATTGACCACAAACAACATTCAATGATTTGTTCAAATGCGAACGACTTCGCGGGTGGTTGAACAACTCCGCATGGCTCAAACATGCAGTAACGTAGTAGCCAGTTTTGAATCGACCCCAACCAGTTGCAAGCAGAGTGACACATGCTGGGACATGACATCCACAAAAGTCAATGACAGTGAGAGTAAGTTAAATGGGCACGGGCTTCATCAAATGTCCTTTATGTGGAGGTCCATGTAAACCACTGAACTTGGGGATTGCGCCATCTGATGGTGAAACCACTGTAAAAGATTTCTACAAAGCTTCCACCAGCTTTCCCAACCCGCCCTTCATCTTTCCTGCCGCCCTGGGCGCTGTCTCCGTCTTGTGTTCCACCTCTTCCAAGGCATTGGCCACCCGCTGCGCCAGGCGCGCGCTCAGTTCGGCGCCCGGGCCCGGCGCGGTGCTGGGCAACTTACGGAGCTGCTCGCAGAAGCGGACGAACTGCTCCGAGCTGAGGCCTCAGACCGATGGATGCGGCCCTCGGACTTCACAAAATAGTTTATGATAGTTTTGCACTGTTTTGAGCATTATAGGGCTTTGTTTCCTGACTGAACAAACATGACAATGTGTGAACCATTTGGCTGAAATCTTGTCAGCTTCACATCCACGCCGCGATGAGATTTAGGGGTACGGTTCCAGACTTGCGGTGGTGCCACGGTGCCACACGATGAGTTCGAGTCAAGGGGATATGTTGCCACTTGGAGATGGGTGCTCCTTCGAAATCCGTGGTCCGATCTGCGATCTGAAGGCGACTCAAGTGGCTGTCCAGGCATCGACTCAACTCGCTCCAACCATTGGGATCCTTGGTTCTGACGGCACTCAGCGGACGTTCCCATGGGACCCGAGCGCTGCGGTTCGAGGCCGGAGGACTGAGAGGTGCTTCGATCCCGCTCCGATCTCACCGAGCCTTGCGACTTCGACTGCTTTGGGGATCGAACATGCTTCGTTCCCCAACAAAACCCTTGACGGATCGCAGACGTAATTGTTTCACGGACCGAACCACGTCACAACGACCGAACCAAAAGCGGAAGGCTCTCGCTTCGGGTCAACAGGTTGACCACTGTTCGCGATCCCAAACGGATCCACTCTGTTCGCGCTTCCTTCGCCGAGCTGGTCGACCGTGCCCGGCCGAGCTGATCGACCGTCGACCGTTGATCAGGACCAAGCTGGTCGACCGTGCCGTCGAAAAAAGGATCGGTGGACTCTTGGTCAGGATCTCCGAAAAAACCAAAGACCAGCTCGAGCGCCTGAAAGGTTTTTCCAGATCTCTATATCAGTTTTTGGAAGGACTCTTTTTGAGGGGTGCCCCCAGAAAAAGCAACAGAAGCGAAGGATCCCATATGTCCCACAAGGTCCAGGCTTCACTCTGGCGGAGCCGCTCCAGCACTTGATCCACTTCAGCAAGCATCGGCCATGCCAAGGAATCACATGGGGCGAGGTGGTGTTGGGATTTTGAAGGACTTTGGCATCCTTTGTGGGGGTTCATCCGTTCATTCATCCCTCAGCTTCAGACAAAAATTTGATCGGCGAAATCTGGGGTCTCAAGACCCCCAGATTAGGCCCCTCTTTTTGGCTGAAAACGACAGGTCCGTTGGAGTTTTAAGACATCGCTTCTCGTCGCTTCTTCGGTCAGTTGCAGACGGAACCGTCAAGAAGGGAGATTCGTTGGTTTCATGGTACTTTGATGTACTTTGTGGGCAGCTTGAATCCCAAGATTAAACTATCAGAACACCTTGTGCCCTGTGCAAAGTTCAAAACGCACCCTACTGCCCGAAGCTTTGGCAGAGTTCCTCCAGTTGAGTGCTAAGGATGCAGCCGCCACAAATGGTTGTGGAATATGTGTCCATGTGAACCTTCTGTGAAACTATGTGGTTGATTTGCTTCTAGTCTTAGTGAACGATGCTGGTTGTTGAGCAATGATCTTGAGCAAGATGCGCGGAGCGCTTCGTGAGAACTGCACCAAAAAGTGCCTTACAAGGGACGGCCATCGGTATCCTAATTCAATCACAGAGATGAGACCACAGTGTAAGTATGGAGTAGACTTACTTCATGGCACTTTCGCTATCCACATCTAACCACTCACCCGAGCAGTCAGAGCGAGATCTCCCAAGTCACAGCGGCACCAGCCACGCGAAAGCCAACTGCTGAAGTTGGCGCGTTGCCTCACAACGGTGGACCACGTGTCCCACTCCGGGCGTTGGACCCGTCGATGCAACATGGACCGGGACGAGTCGCCGGGTCCTCCCGAGTCCTCCCGAGTCTCCGCGGGAGGAGAAGAAGGAGAGTTGTCTGATCCGATCTGTCGCGTGGTGTGTGAGGAATTCCAACACTTCTGGGACCCTTTTAAATACATCATGGCAGCATGGCTGTCTGTACAAAGGAAAATTGATGAGAACACATGCAGAACGGGGAGCAGTGGACTAAAGTATAAAAGAGATGGTAAGATCAAGTGTGAGGAAGCTTATATATTAAACTTGCAGTAATGCCATAGAGACCGGTTAGCATCCATCCAGCCGAGCATTTTGATGGACACCGGCTAAGGAGTCTCCAAGCACACAGGGGTTCCAAGAAGGACTGTGTTTGGACGTTTTTTTTGACCCAAGATCCAACCATCCACAGGCCATCCCCTTGGAGCTTTTGGTGACTGATACTCTTCACGGTGCAATTATCAATCAAGTAAGTAGCTCATACTGGTTCATACTACACTACAATATCAACCTTGTGGGGCTTCACCATGCAATCACATTGCACTGACCTAGATCAAATCAACTCACAATCCCTGGCTTCTGGGGGATCTTCACGCTTCGCTCAAGACACGTCAGCACACGACAATCACGACAGGACCAGGGTGGCGAAACGCGACGAACGGAACCACGGCACCCGGCGCATGGACTGAAGCGACTGGGAGATGCCAGGGAGATGCCATTGGACTACCGGGTCTCTGATACACGACCGGTGCCAACGACCGGTGCCTTCACCTTCATTGGACTACCCCCCAGTCACTGGCCCCATCAGTTTTGGCCCCCCAGGGTCACCCCCCTCCATTCCGTACACCAGGCCACTGCGTCGTGGTGTGATAGGCGGCCTCCATCGGGCGGACCGAAGGGACGGCCGCGGGGGCTGGACGGGTGGTGTCGAAGTGTCTGGATTGAAATGTTGAGGGGATCAGGGGTCCATTAAAACTTCATGAATCCCTGAGAGCCACTGTAGATATCGAAATAAGTCTTGAATTGATAGTATGAATTCGTAGTAGATTCTTGAGCCCTTTGAAGCAACCGATGGAGTCTTTATGAAAACTAAGAAAAAAAAAACACTTAGCCTCTGGAAAGCCAACACTGGCGCTCTTTAGAACCACTGGAGGAGGATCCGCTGTAGGCCGAGGTGCTGGGACCAGGACCACGAAAATCTCACAGGCCTCCACAAAGAGAGGGATGGAGCCTGAGCGGAATCGCCAGAGCTCCAGGCGGTGCCAGGGCGCTTTATAGATTAGAATAGTATATATAGTACCTAGAACCTGATTGACCTCTGTTTTGGATCCAAAAAAACAGCATGTCCCTTTCAAAACAGAGGTCACTAGGTATGTATATCTATTTATATATATATATATGTGCTTGCAGGAAGGTCTTGGATCGTCTTGAAGGTCTTGGATCCACGGATGGGTGAATTGAGGCGACCAACCCATCAAGAAACCATGGAGCATACAGTCCTCTTCTCGGTGGGTCAATGTTGGACTGAGATTAAAGCAGAGATCGATGAGTCATCAAGGGTGGATCGGGAACAAGAACTTGTTGAACTCGATCGAATGAGTGGGGGAATGCGACTGGAAGAATTGGCAACCCTGCAAAAGTGTACTGCAGTCTTTGGAATATCTGTGTCGACAAAATCTGGATAATGTTTGGTAGTGGCCTGCAGCTCATGTCAGTTTCTCTTAGGGTTCTGCAAGATCTTCTCCGCCATAGTTTGTCAATCTGGAAACTCTTGGATCAAGAACTGCTTGTGAGGTCTTGTTTCCCAGGCCATCAGCTCTCCCAACTCTATATTGGTTTCAGCTTGCAAGTTCATGCGTCTCTTACGGCGCGAGGATCTAGTGGAGGTTTAGAACCCTGGTGCGTTAAACGAACCCAACATACCTGACTGCCACTGTCAATCCTAGTCTTCCAATCCTTGGATTGCAGCAACTTGGGCAAGCTCAATATGAATATGACAATGACACACAGTCTTGAGGAAAGGTCTTTCGCTTATCGGTCATTTTGAGCGAAGCTCATGTGGGGGTTTCACAGCAAGGACAACAATGGAAAGCTGCCTCCTACCGAGCCCCTAAAGAGAGAGGCGCGCGTAGCAGGCCAACCGCCATCATAAACCTCCTTGTTGAACTCTCACACTTGCCACAACTCACATATTCGAGACGTGCATATGGGATCGGAACGCACTGTAATTGATCTTTAGTGGAAAGGAACCAGGAGACCTTGGCTGTACTACCGACATCACTTGCGCTGGAGGTCAGGCTACATGGTGGACCAGGGCTCCAGGTTTTGACCCATCCCCATATCAGCTTCAGAACAACCCAAAAAAATCAATGATTCACCAACCTTTCAAGCGGTTCTTAAAAAACACCATGAAAGCCCTGGTCAGTAGTCTGGTCAGTGACCCGAATGTTGAGCCCTCCATGTCTGGTCTTATCATGTAGACGGTTGATCAATAAAGCCCTCCAGATATTGGAGAGCTTTTTTAACCACCCAAAGGGGCGATGATACCTAGAAAGTCTATACATTGCTTGTATTCGGATGTTGAATATCGCGCATTGTTGCACGGTTCAACAGAAAGATCCAGCCACGGCCAGGTCACTGATGTAGATATCCTGGCGCGGGGAAAGTTCACGCACATCACATGCATCGATGATCCATGCGCTCGAATCGACAGTTCCAGCCCTCTTCTCAAGGGCACGTCAGAGGGAAGGGGGGCAATATATGGGGCCATATCACCCAAAGACTCCATGGGACTGCCATAGTTTGTTTACCTACATTCCTAGCACTTCCAATTCCGGTGTTGGAATTGGAGACCTAGTTCAGTCGTGTAGGCTTGTCCAGCCAGGGTGGTTGGAAGCAGCTGGTGCTTGGTAGCAGCTGGGGGGGGTCCGAGTCGTCCCAACGTCCAACGGAGTCGTCCACCGGACCGAACCCTCAGGTCATTGGACCGTAACCAAGCCAAGCTCTCCGTTCTCACCGTACCTCAGGTTCGGTATGTGGATCCATAGGGATCATGAAACTCCAAAGAATGCTTTAGACCTTTCCCACCTCGAACCCAGTTCGGTATCGTGTGTGCCGGCCTGCGTGGTCATCCCAGACGAAGAGGCTCGGCTGAAGGTGGCGGTGAAGGCCGGCGAGAGCGGGAGGGACAGCTTCCCAGAGAAGTCCTCCCGGCAGAAAGTGGGTAACGGATCTTTGGATGTGTGTATATAGTAAAACGATGGCGTCGTAGTGCAACGGTGTAAGATATCTTCATGATAGAGATACTGTAGAATCTTGATTAGTAGAACCCCCAGCGATTGAATTGTAAACCTCTTCAAATTTGCTTAATCAAGAGTCTACATTAGATGGAAAGAGGTTTAAGATGTGTAGCCATAGGCTGTGTCATAGCGAGCCACGGACATCCGCGATCGAACGCGCAAAAGCGCGATGAGTTCCGCAACAATGAGTTCAGCATCTATAGAGAACATATAACAAGTTCACCAAGTGATCCCACCAGATCCTTTTGCGAAGTGGAACCCTCCCACCACGCCAAGGACCCCCCCCCGCATGGTTCCTATAAGGCATGCGGTGTAAACAGCGTGCCGAAACGGGCCCGTGCCGCAGTCCCCGCAGCAGCTCCCTGGCTCCTCGCGCTGTTCCTTGGTCCAGGTCATCGAGTCATCCATGCTGAGCTCCTCCACTTCCTCTAAGATCTGAGGGACGCAAAACCAGTCGAGCCTCAGATTCTGACTCTGGGGGATTGGATGACCGCTCAGAGTTTCTTTCCGATGTCTGAGTGAAGACACGTGTTTTTTGTTTTTTTTGCTATTTTTTGGAGGGGTTGGTAGGTGGATATATAGGTTTTGCAGGGTAGATCAGCAAAGTAACTTGGTGACCTGCTTTATAGTCCTGGTATGTAGGTAGCCGATAGCAGGTGCCTCCGGGTCATGATGCTTTCAAGCGTGGTGCTGCCTCTCGATGCAGCTGTGGTCTGGAAGAATGGTGGTCACACACACATGGCATCAGGAGAGCAAATGACTAGCAAGCTATCCTGGCTTGGCAAAGTCAAGCTATCCTGGCTTAGCAAGCTATCCACCTGGCTACATGCGTGCACCGGTGGACTTGCGGACTGGGCTCCGGAAAAGACGAAGGGGCAAACCGGTGAAGCGTACAGGCCTGCAACCTGGTTGCCCAATATGGAATTGACACTTGACCATGGTGACCATGG